GTTTTCCTGCACCTGGCACAGGATCCAAAATATTAGGCAGATAGGTTTCCCTTTGGACTTTTCCAGGGATTCCTCAGTGAACTCCTGGGGCAGCACCTCTCCACAGAAATGGACTATAAAAAGTTCCCATAGACATAACCAGGACAGGGAATAATGTGGTGCATTAAGTGAAGGAGTGTGGCAATGATGGCTGGAGACTTCAAGGAGTGATGGATGACCAGGACAGCTGCCTCCATTCATCAAGCTATCCTCATCTGGACAAAAGAACAGCCAGTCAGTCAAGGCCAGTTTGTCGTTAGAGGTAGTAACATTTGACACCCATGTTGTCAAGAGCCATCTTGGGGGAAGATATTTGAATTCAAAAGTTCGTTAGAAGCGTGGATTACCTCAAAGATGTAGCAGATAAGGTCACAACACAGAAAATGAGGTTGAACAGATACTAGCACTGGAACCGATCTTGGTACTCCTTTTGTTGACCAAATTGCAACCAAGATGTCATGAAAAGCTAAGTCTCCATGTCTGGGGTTTGATGACCTGCCAGGGATTTCTGAGATGTTCTTGACTGAAAAAGCTGCAGAATATCGGTGAAGTGAGGACTTAAGGCTTGAGTGTTATGAGTACTACCTTTCTTAGGCAGTTGAAATTCTGGTATCCTAGCAACATTTTGAAGGAGTCTTACGAGATCTTGGCCAATCATCAAACATTCTACAAACCACCCATGACACAGTGATACACAGAAATCCACTTCCTTCTGCCATAGAACCTGGACCCAGTCCCACGGTGGTCAACAATGAGGTGGAGGTATATGTAAACTGCCATGGTGATAAGGTACTGTTCTTCAATACCAATTCCTTTGCTCAATCAGGATATCCAGAACACTTCCAGCCAACCAGGTATTTTTGGCTGTAACATCTCCACCTGCAGTCTGCTTCATAAATCTCATGCAAGCACTATTGGCTCCCAGAACTCCACTCTTCACTCATTCCCAAACCAAACACACCATCTGAATAAAGTAGGTATCCTGCAACTTCAGGTACTTCTCCATTAATAGCTAGCTGATTTTACTGAAGATAATACTCATGCCACATGACTCACCTAAATCATGTCCCAGTAACACTTCTGGGCTTGGGCAGTTTCTGTGAGGACACGAGTAAAGGAGGTCCAGGTAGATTTTCTCACACCAGAGGGAGGAGAGGTTTGCATACATACACATTGAGAATGTCATTCATTGACATCACAATGCTCATATACCTTTTCAACCTCCCTTCTAATTCTGCCTTGGTATTCAAACTGGTTTAAAGTAGCCACCTCCACCCTCCTGCAGCTCCTGCTCCCACTCTTCCTCCTGTACTTCCTTCAGTTCTTGAAGCAGCTGTTGCTAGTGTCCCTTTGGTAACTCCATGGCTGCAGTCAAGAAATGGAAAAAGATCAGGGAAAGGATGGGTGAAAAGTTCTAGAAATGGGGAATTCAGGGAATGGATTGCCAGAGACGGGGACAAGATGAACAACAAGCAGGTAGAAAGAGCACAGGTGTCAGCCCTACAGGCACTGTCTGTGGTGTGGTAGTGCCAGGAAAAGCTGTTAGGTCAGGACACTAGAGAAGGGCCTGTGCCCCACTGCTATCTCTAATAACAAATTGGCTGTTCTTAGTCCAGATAAGGATAGCATGATGAATATAGTGCTTCCACCCCTAAAGTGACAGGGGAACCCTTCATGCCTTTGAACCCTGAAAGGAGGGAAAATGCTAAATTCCTGCTCATGGGGGTGGGAGGGAGCCCTCCTGAAGGAGAGGGTAGGTAACCTTCCTGGGTGGTACCCCAAGGAGTGGAGAATGAGGGTCCTATGGATGCAGACCCTACAGGGTAGGGGTGAGGTAGCAGCACTATAGGATATGGATGACCAGCTTCTCCCCACACCACACAGAAGCAAGAATGGTTATGATCTTTTTAACTTGAATAATTTCCTAAACTGCCATGACAAATAATCATGAACCAGGTGGCCTAAAACAAATTTGTCCAGGGTGTGGTGGTGCATACCTGTAATCCCAGGACTTGCGGAGGATGAGGCAGGAATATCGTAAGTTTGAACCCAGGCTGGGAAATTTAGCAAGATTCTGTCTCAAAAATTAAAATAGGGCCAGGGATGTAGATCAGTGCACAGACCCTCCGTTCAATACCTAGTACCACACATGTACACACACAAATTACTCTTCCACAGATCTAGAGGTTAGAGGTCCGAAATCAAGGTTCCCTCTAAAGATTCCAGGAAAGGATCCTTTGCCTTTTCTTAGCTTCTCCTGTGGGCACCTTTAGTTTGTAGCTGCATCACTCTAATCTCTGCCTCCATTTTCACATGGCCTTTTCTATATGCCCACATTTCTCCATGGCCTTCTTATAAGGACATCGGTCATTTGATTTAAGGCCAACCTTAATGTAGTATGAAGTTACTAATTTCACCAAAAACCCAATTCCCAAATAGGTGACACTGTAGTTCCAGGTGAATATAAATTTGGGGGGAAGATACATTTAGCCTGGTATAACAGTATCAGTCTTTTCTAAGTGTTTATCAATTTTAATTATTTAAGAGAACTGTTTGGGTTTTTCTCTGTGCTGATTTCCATAAATTTCAAAGGAATCCATGGTCAAAGTGTCTGAACATTTCTTCTCTACCATTCTCTAAATCTGCTTCCGTAGCTCAATTACAGGGATGGCAGACTAACTGATTTTGCCTTCAAATCTGATTTTTATTAATTTTGATATTCTATTGTCAATCCTTTTCTTTAACTTTGTATACTTTCAACTGCTCTGTCTTCAAGTTTATTCATCTATTCCTTTATGTGTTATCTTAGGTCATATTCTAGAATTGTTTGTATTTTTCTGTTTCCAGGTCTCTGCTAAAATCTTATATCTCTTCATACATGTCTCCTTCTCCCCACCTTTTTTTCCTAGCTCTTTCAGCATTTTTATCATTATTGTCAACCCTCAATAATTCAAACAATTCAAACATCTATTAATCTGAGTTTGCCTCTACTGACTTTTGTCTCTGGATCAACGTTTTCTGCTCCTTTGCATGTCCTATAGTTTTTTTACTGGGTAATTTTCTATAAAAGGACAATAGGTATAAAAACAAGTAATAGTTCCCTTTAGAATAAGGTATGCCCCTTCTTTTGTCAGGAATGGGATGCTAAATCAATCTGATCTGCACTGGAGGGGGTGCTGGGCTTTGCTACAGTTCTAATTTTTTTTTCTTTTTTTCAGACAGGGTCTGGCAGTGTAGTTCGGGCTGGCCTTGAACTCACTATGTAGCCTAGGCTGGTCTCAAACTCACAGCGATCTTTCTGCCTCAGCCTCCTGGGTGCTGGGATTATAGGCATGTGCTACCATACCTGATTTGCAGTTGTAATTTGATTCACCTTATTCTCTTGGAATATTCTAAATAGGAGGACAGGATTTCCTCTTAGCAGGAATTGGGATCTGATCTCACTTTAAATTAAACATTAAACACAAAAATGTGATTAAATTAAAAAATGTCCTATCTAGTCATTCAAGTTATTGTATTTGACAGTAGAGGCAAGGTATCTTTTGGGGGAGAGCATGGTTATCTTCCTTTACTTCAGCCTTAAGGTTAATCTTTTCAGCCTATGTTATTTCTAAGGGTAAGAGTTAAAACTAATGAGACTTAAATACTATCAAAGTAATATATTTTGTCTCAGAACAATCCTTTTAATATGTGGTATATATCTCTATGCCTACTATTCTAGGAATAGACAAGTCCATGTTTTTTCCCATACATAATTTAGCTTTATGAGCTTCAATTCTATCAATTTTCCTCTCACCTTACCATGGATACTTCATAACCAGAACTAGCTTCTTTCACATATAGCAACCAGGACTGGACAATACTTCCCAGATGTGGTTGCACCATGCTTTGGAAAAACATACTTTTTTTATTATTTGTATACAATTTTTTTGGAAGTGATGTTAGCATTCGATGTTTGGTGAGATGTGTCCCATGTTCAGTGTTACTTAGCATAGGTAAATAGTATCTTATCCCATTTTCTTATTAGTGCAGAAATAATATTTCTTCAGACATATTAATCCTATTATTCTTACTAATTTCTATATCTAGCAACTTGTTTATAATTGGTCTCTAGTTCCATCATATAAGCATTTTCCCTTAAATTGCTTCTTATATTTTAAACTTTTTCTCACCTTTCTTCTATCCTTGGAACTGTCTCCTGAAAAAAATACAAAACCTTGCAATTTTCAAACATTCTTTTGCAAACCTCTTTCCCACTGAACACATTCCAGATACACACTTTCTTCCTTTTAATCTTATCGGAGATATGTAAACCATTCTTTATCTGCACAGCTGACTCAAAGTAGAAACTATACATATCACTTGCATAACCACAAAAAAGTAGAGAAAATTCCTTTGGTACATGCATATATGTCTATTACTTTGAACTTAGATCATTGTTTCTGTATTTAGATTTCTGATTTTGTTCTTCAGAATGTGGATTCTAGAAAAATCACATACATTAAAAGGCTCCATACCTGTTTCAGGACCACTTTTAAAAGTAATTATAATTTGCTCTAAATGAAAATCTGAACAGCTCTTGACTGTACTTTGCAGTGGTTTCTGTTTGATAATAATCATGTCTGTTGTTATTTACAAACTTCTCACTTATATAAAACATGATAGAAATAGACTTACTACAGGTACCTCTCTCCTTGACTGGTAATTAAAATCTCACATCAGAGACTAGGCTTCATGAAACTATTGCAAGCATGTATGATACTTCAGTTAACACTGTACCTGGCCTTATGGTAGAATCACTTATGCAAAGCTTATGCTATAAACGAATTCACTTGAATTCAGTTTTCCCATATACAGATACCAGAAGAAAAAATATTTTTTTCCAAGACTAAAAGAAATGTATTAAGATGATAACACTCCAACTTCAAAAATCAATTCTAAATGATGACCAATACGGATTATTTGGGGTAATAGAAACTGTCTTTTATGAAAGCGTTCCTATGAAAACATGCTTTAACAATGACATAAATTGTGAAAGGCTGGGATATACAGACTGCTTGGTACACTTCAGGTTCTCTTAAAATAGAAAAAAATTACAATGTTGTAGTCCTTTGGTTTTATTTTCTAGGATAAAAAGCATAAGTATAAATATTTTTAAATGATATCCTTTAAAATAACTATCAAATGGCTTTATGACTCCTGATTATCAATATGCATCAGTGTCACAGATAGCCTTGATTAACTGGTTGAAAATTTCAGAGTGTAATAAACAGTGTTTGTGAACTTTTCCCCTTTCCCTGAGAATCATAAACATCAAAGGAACCTTTTATCCTTTCATTAAAATTCTCTGGAAAGTAGTCGTGTTCGTTCATTGATAACAGGGCAAGGAGCAGTGTCATAGAGGGTTAGTCCATGTAAATTGGCTTCCACATGTAAAGAAATTTTCTGGAACAGAAGAGAAAATTACATAGAGAAACTTGCTCCCTAGCAATTACCTCTTCAATACATTCTGTAGACTATCTTTTTTGATTAGAGATATAAATCGTCTGAAGGAATAGCAAGATAAGATAGCTGTTGCACTGTCAAAGGCATCATCTTGACTTAGTACCAAGTAATCTGGAAAAACCAAGCTTTAAAAAGTTCCCTGTTTTTCTTCAGTTTCTATTAAAAAGTCAATAAAATTAAATTCTGAGTGTAGCTTCTGTAAATGCATAAAGAACATAAAAATTCTATGAAAAAAATATGTTTTACAACTCCAGTTACAAAGCTGAAATGTGCTAATAATACACTACTTTCCCAAACTCAGAAATAATTTCACTGGAGAAGTTGCCCTTCTCTTAACACTGTTTATGGTGATAGAAGTTAAGTAGTTAATTTTTAAGAAGATTGGAGACATGCCAAGGAATTTTCTTTTATTCAACCTAAAGGAAGTCTGACTGCTTAAATCAAATCTATGTTTTCTTACCTGAAAATCACGAATGTAAGTCAAGAAAAAACCAAAGAAGGAAAACGACATTGACCATTCTGCTGCAGTAGTGACCATATGAAGCACATAACCCTTGAGTGAGACAAGAATACTTTTGTGAAATTTCATTCAAATAATTATAATATTCTCAAATAAAAAAGCTTAAATACTTATAAACCAGCCTTCTGAAAATCAACTCCATTTATTGAACATATCTTGAGAATTAAAGAGTAGACCCTAGGAATTCCTCTTAAATGATACTTAGTATCACCTGGAACAAATAAAATTTCTATTTACATAACTAAGAAAACCAGAAGAATTTCTAATCAACCACAAGGAGTTACCACTTTTCCCAAAGCAACATGAGTTATTAAAGGCCACTAATAAAAGTTTAATAATAATCACTGTAAGCTTTAGTGAGGATTACTTTTACAGTATTAAATAATATATAAAATATAATTAGGAAAATCTGGTAGATTATTTCATTCATTCTCACAAATACATTCTAATCAGGGCTGATTCTTTATCCTAACAGCTAACATCCTAAGATGATAACATTAATTTGAAGACCTGGTCTGCCCACAGTATAAACAAAAATGAATAGTGGTAAATATAAAAACC